AAAAAAAAAAAAAAAAAAAAAAAAGAGCTTGATAAGGGAGCCAGGGAAGCACTAAAAGGAGAGTTGAAACTAGAAACTCATGACAGTGCTAAGTTATAAGCTGTTCAATGGAGCTCTAATCACCAAGGCACATGCATGTGAGTGAAGATAACTAGATTTACTGATAGGATTCGAATTTCAGATAGATTTCCTAGAGCAATTTTATATGACAGACATCACAACATAGAGAGAGTCAGATATTTGCTCATCTTGCCCAGCCAGTCTTGACACAGAGTTATGGTAACTCATTAAATCCTCACATCCTTCCGTTTTAATCTCAGTAATCCAAGGCTTAGGGAAGTTAAGTTACCTGCCCACAATTGTTTAGTGGGTAGCAGTTTGAATTTAGGAGTCACACTGGTCTCTTGCAAGAACAGATTTGTAATAGTGTGCCTTTAACCACAGGAGGAGCTTAGACTTCCCTAGAGAGGATGGCTCTGTGAGTCCCACACCCTACTCTCAAGTCTCAGGAGACTGTGTAGGTAGGCACAGTAGTTGTCTAAGACAAGTACAAGCATCACTGTGATATTAAGGGACTCTGCAGAGTTTCTGTGTATTCTTGAAGAGGTTCTTCTGTTCGCTATAGTATCTGTCAGCACATCTAGAATGACAGATTCTCTGTGTTTTTGATGAATACTCTTCATGAATTTCTACCCATCTAGAAAACTCCTTTAAATTTTTGTGGGGGGAAAAATCACAAAACTGGCCCTTAACAACTTAATTTTGTAGAGCAGAGTGGCTGAATACGTTGTAGTTAGAATGGGACTGGGTTAAATGATCTAAATTATTACTTCAGTTCTGTTGTTAGAGGTCAGTGTAACTCTGGGCAGTTCTTGAAGTACTTCAGTTCCTACTTAAGTAAGATGCCTCATTTATTTCTCTAACCTTTGTGAGAATAAAATCAAGAAAAGTAACAAGGAAAAGCCTTAAAGGTTATTACAAAGTATTATAAAAAATAAGGTTTCCTAGACCAAATTTTCACTTTTGCCCCAATCTTATCAGTTCAGAATCAGCCAGCAAGACTCTTACATGGCCAGCCATATAAGTATTTACATTCTGATGTGTGTACAACCTCATATAATTTGATGGAAATTATAAAAGAACATTGCTATCTTAAACAGAAACACATTCACACACATGTGCATGCACACACACAGGCAAGCATACATGCACACACATGCATGCACACACAGACATACATATCGCAACTAAATTTTCTACTTCTAAAAACGTATTTCACCCATGGTTAGTGTGACATGATTACAAAAAGATGAGTTCAAAGGAAGATTAACTTTTGAGTAATTTGTTCTCACCTAAGAGAGCTTTTAAATTGTATAGAACAGTACAATGGATGAGACAGAAACATCTTTCTGCAACACAAAGCCATGTCTCATTAATATTTCATAAGTGGCTTACGCCATCAGGACTACTCTGAATGAAGGACACAGGAGGTAGTAATGAAAGTTTAAATTTTTATTTCAGAAAAATTGTAGGCTGAGTAAGAATGTCTATAGTATATGACATTAAGGCTGAGTCTTAAAATAGGCTATGGAGGGAAAGGAATGGAATTTTATACCCCACTTATATTTCAAACCATATACCCCACACTCCACTTAGGGAAACTGGAAATGGATCATTATAGGAGAGGCTGGTGGGATGGAAGGGTGTGCCTTCTAGAGAAACAGAAGGGTTTCTGGGAAGAATCTTCCTTCTTAGAAATGTGCTGCATCCTTGCACAGCCTCAAGGGCCAGATCTGATGGGGATGGGGAGAGAATGAAAGAAAGCAAACACACCAATGTACAGAAGAGCTGGCATCAGGTGTGCTGTACTCTCTGATGGAGAAAATGAAGTCTCCCAGAAGCATAACTTAGTAATTATGTACAGTTGGGCAGAAAAGCAGGGTTATTGCATACAGCTGAACAGGAGGTGTGCAATTATATACAAAATAAACAAGAAAGCAGAACTATTATATACCAGTGAACAAGGAGTCAGGTTTAGCTGACCTCAGTAGGAATAGTCTCTATAGGAGAGCAGCCTTCAGGCCATAGATATCCACATAGAGAAAGCTATGGTGGATATTCTCTTCACACACTATCAACATCTGCACATAGTCCAGAGCAAGGCTTTGCCATCCCTCTGAGCCTCATCCCAGGGATAAGGCTTTGCCACTTTCCTGTGGGTCTGAGACTAACATCCTTGACATGGCCACATCCATGTCAACAGCCCACATTCACTCAGGACTTTACTTGTTTGGGGCTTCCTCCACTCCCCATAGACATTGAAATAAATTCTGTATTTATGACAAAAAATTAAAAATATTATAAAGGAGTGAGATGAAGGAAAGTATGGATCTCTTGACTTCATCTCTACTACAACTGGTCTGAAATAACTTCCCTGGGTCTACAGGTGGGGAGTTGGCAACACAAATATCCAAGAGAAAGGGGATGCCATATAGAGACTGAATGATATAAAATATGATAAACTAAAAAAGAAAAACCAGGACTAGAATCATAAAAAAGAAAAGAAATGAATTAGGCAAGCATTAATCCCTCAGGGCCATACAAGCTGTAATAAAAAGGTTGGGTTGTTTTCTGAGAGCCCAGGAAGACTATTAGTAGGCTCTTAGCACTGTGCCTACCAGTGAGTAGTCACTACAAAACAACTATGAGAATGATGGGAAAGACAAAGGGAAGTGTGCATGCTGTGGTTTAGAATCAGGAGAGAAGATGCTCTAGGAAAAATAGGTTGCATTTTCTTGATTTTAGAAAGTAAATTTTAAAATCTGATAATTTTATTGATAGAGATTTTGGAACCAATACTATTTTATGAAATCTTGATTGTTCTTAAAATGCTGAAATGCTGGCCACAAAGTGGTCAAACATGCTGATGAAGAATAAAAATCATTGGCCAATAATAATGATGATGATAGTAATATAATTAGGCCATGCCTGATGTCACTCATCTTCTATCCCTTGTATATCATTCTTTTATTTGGGGTGAAGCCGCAGTCCTTTTCCTTTTCACCTGTATTAGCTGAACATTGTTTTTAAGATCAAGTCCCTCTGTCACCAAGTTGTCGATCAGCCTGCCATTCAATTCACGGAGAGTGTGTTAACACATTTAATGTTACCATATGGTTAGATTTTGTTTTCAGCCCTTGGATGGGGCAAACCTCCTAGTTTTAGCATATTTGCTTTGCTTTGAATTAAGCTTTCATACCTAAATGGATTCTAGAATTTGAAGTGTAAAAACAAATCGAGATAGTCAGCACACAGAGAATGCACACGTGCATTAAGGCTTGGCTTGGAGACCTGATCTATTCCAGATGTCAAAGTCTGCTGCTTACTCAGCTCTACAGCTGGCACTTAAAATTTCATATGAATTATGTTTTGCAGCCCAGTTAATCTTAGCTCTCTGTACAGGAAATAGTTCCTTTACAAGAACTCAGGTTTTAATGGGTAGTTTTTTTCTTTAGGAGCTAGTTCAACCTATAAATGCCATTTGCAGTACTTCATAAGCTAAATAGCCTGGGTTACTCACTATATTCTGGGGATCTGGGGTTCTGACATTCAGCATTTACAAAATGAATAAATAAATCCTTGAGAGGCAGACAGCAATACTCAGTTAGTGGAGAACTTACTTTGCAAGCATAAGGGCCCAAGTTGGATCCCTAAACTGTGTGGTGACACACATTTGTAATCCCAGCACTGGAGGAAATAGGTTCATTTTATCTACTCGAATTCCTCAGGACTGAGCAATTCCTGTGGTGAAGCTCACAGTCATGGGAAGGATTAAGTGTTAGTGCTCCATCGGGAGACATGGCAAGTCTCATGCAGAGAACAGATATTCAGTCCTCTCACATAAAAGAAGCCAGTGATCATGAAGACGAAATCATTTCTTCTAGTTTCCAAGCACAAAGAGGGGGTTTTGTTTGTTTTCGGATGAGAATATGAATTTACAAGTGCTAGGATATTAACTACAAATGAATTTGGGGTCACTTAGAGCATTTGATAGGTTTTATTCCACTATCTCTGTTTAAAATGTGGTGGTTAAAGAACTGCTATGCCTGGGATCCAGGAAGAGTCCAGGTTTTCAGAATTAATAATGCTTCCTTCCACAAGGAGAGAAACACATCCAAAATCAATTGCACCTTCCAGGTTGAATGCCCTTGAGGCCAGTAAGTTCCTCTTATGACATCTGGATGGCAGCTGCATTCCCCTTGCTAATGTCCTTGAGTTTCACTAATCAGGACCCCGGGGACCAGCCCACTTTAGCTTGCTCTGATGTTTTCCTTCCTTCTTGTCATCTTGTAATGGACGAATAGAAATGAGAGACAATGATCACAGAGGAAGCAAATAGAACCCGAGGGATTAGAGGACAGGGCACTATCTTCCTCGTATTTCATGTATTTTAGTCTTCAAGAACTATAGTGTGTGTGCTGTCCCTGCTGAAGACCGAACGGTTAGATTACACACTTTCACATTAACTGACCAATTGGAATTTGTCAAATACTGACTGTAAGCACCTGCATGCAGGAGGCTTTGTTTTGTTTGCTTGGTTGTTTTGTTTTTGCAAGATACTTAAAGGACACTTTCTCTTCCCTCTGAGACTTTCTGTTTGGTCAAATAGCATAACTTGACTTCAGTCTAAGAAATTTGTGCTACAGATGTCAAGAGCTTAGAGTAAGGAACTGGAATAAGCCTGACGCAGTGGAACAGCATGTGATTACTTCATGTGGCCGAGCCTTTAAAATAGTTTTAGTTCTTATCTTCTCAGAACATCCTTGGCTATGGATCCACATACAAATCGGTCTGCATCTCAGATGTTCTTACGATAGCGTTTGCGGTATAATACTGTGATGTATATTGACCGGTACCCTTTCAGACCTTTGTACTTCTACCAGTTTTGGATGAGAGGAACAATGTCAAAATATTCCCACCAATCTTCCCTTTACTACCCCCTACCCTAAATCTAAATAATTCTCACTGACTTCAGCCTAAAAAACATGTCTCTTGAGGACTCCTTACCTCCCTACGCACAGAGAGCTTTTCTACTATAACAACTTATTATTATTTTACTATTCTGAAATGAAATTCTATCTATACAGATTTCTACACATTATATTAAAAAACATTAAGGAGTAAAATTAAGGCAACAAAATTAAAACCACATTTATTGCTATATGTGAGGTGCCTGGACAAGCTTCCGTCTAAGATAGAACATAGTCAGCTGTTTGCCTCCTACACTTCCAGGAATTCTCCTGAGTAAATGCAGGCCAATGTGGATGCAGGCCGGTGACTGCTACCTATGAAAAGTGAGATCCTCTTGGTAGCTATCAGGAAGGAAGAAAAAAACTACTTTTTTCATTTGTATTCTACTAGTCATCCTGGAAAATTGTGAATATTATAAATTTCTAAAAGTACTTTATGTTATATACATAAAACTGGACGAGATTTTCTGCTCGACAGGAAAAGTTTCACTTAAGTGAAAATCACACAGGATGTTAGAGAATCCTTGTGTGTGACTGTCACCTTTCAGACTCTCTAGTGGTGTGACTGTTACCTTTCAAACTCTCTAGTGGCATGAATCTTAACTATTCTATACGGGTCATGCACCCACCAACATCAGAATAATAGATAAAAAAAAGATGCCCTCATGTTTTCCCAAATGCCTAGTTACAGTGCCCACTGTGTTTAGCACAGATTAAGGGACTGTACTGAGCCCTGCCCCTGCACGGACATCACTTTTGCCACAGCTTCAGAGAGTATCTGTACCTGTCTTAAGTTCATCCTAGGGCATTCTGCCAGCATAGGGCCCGCTGCTTGCAGAGACCTTGACGTGCTGATTGAGAGTAGATTAGTATTGGGGTGCTCCATCCTCCAGAATAATTTCATGGAACTAGAGTCTCTTGTATATTCTTTGTACAATTCCCAACTGCGGGGAGACTCTCCAGGGTCCCACCTTTAGAAATATCAGAAATAACAGGAGTTCTTCTTTAGTTGATGTTTTATTACCAGAGTCTTGGGAAATTTCACTGCTGTCTCACAGGTTCCTTTCCATCTCATTGTCTGGGCTTAGATGTAGTAACTTGCTAAGGTTATTAAGTCAGGAGGTCAGTGACAGGTGGGGACATGAACTGAGCCATTGACACAGTTTGTGGCCACTGTACTGACTTAATTTTTATTACATGTATTTATTTGTTTGTGTATATGTTGGGAGTTGCACTACAGCACCCATGTGGGAAGGAAGGATGGCTTACAGGAACGGATTCTCTGCTTCTACCACGTCAGTCCTGGGGAATCAAACTTGGGTCCTCAGGCTTGGCACCAGTGCCTTTACCCACTGAGGCAGTGGTCTGTAAATTTATTTTTCTAGAACTCTGTTTAGATTTTGTATGTATATTAATAAGTGAAATTGATCCATAGTTTTTATTTTTTTACTGTTTATGTTAGAATTTGATAGTAGAAAGTTGTGCCATACCTGGGGGCCTTTGAACAAGTGATATGTGGGAATTATCTGTTCCTTAAAGGTCAAGAGGGACTTGGCAAATATACACCATCTTCTCATGGTGCTTCCTTCTCAGGGAAGGTGGGGTAAAGGAAGCGGGCAGTGATGCTCCACTTGCCCGTGGTGCAATATTCCTGTTTTCCTTTTCTTCAGATCCTTTAGAAATTTATATAATTTTATGAAAATAATCTATCATGAACATTCAAAGACTGGCAAAGAACTGTACACAGAATTGTAGTTAATTCATTGTATGTTTCTTAGACTCTGTATTTGTAATGTTTATAATTTTTATTTTTGTATACTTAGACATATTTTTGATTTTCTCATTTATCTAAAATTTGCCTTCAGTATCCCTATTCTCAACCCTCCTATTAAAAAGCTGTTCTTCAATTTATTGATGATTCTGCTTCCTTTTGTGTTTTAATTATTAGGTTTTACTGTTGGTTTTTACATTTTCTTTTAATGGTTTTATTTGTTTTTTTGTGTGTGTGTTGATTCTCTAGGCTCTCTCTCTCTACCTCTCTCTGTATGTCTCATTCCTCATCATTCCTCCTGACTTTTTCTTTTGTAATGAACAGTTTATTCCTTTAATTGCAGATTTGTTGAACTTTCATCTTTTGATATGCTATACTCTTCGCTTTTGTTGTTTGGGGAAACTCTGCAGTTACAGATTTATTTCCTCTATGATATTGTGGAAAATATTATCACATTTTAAGAATTATGTAGTTATGGACTGTATTAGCTAAAGATTTTTATCAATATTTAGTACCACTAGTTTGTGCTAGTTCTAAATATTATATAGACACTACCTAAATTAAGCTTTTTTTTGTTTGGATGTGCCATTGAATAGGCTCCAAATGCTGCCTGACTACTAATGTGACTTTCCTGATTAGCAGTACAAATTCTTGTTTACTTTTCTGCTTAGGTTGGAGACCACAACAACTTACTTGAAAAGGTCTGTGGCAATGCAACCCTTCCACCCATTAGATCAATATCTAACAAAGTCTGGATCAGGCTGAGAATAGATGCTTTAGTTCAGAAAGCAAGTTTCAGAGCTGAATATAAAGTTGGTAAGAAAACTTCTGTTTTCTTGTTTGTGTGTGTGTGTGTGTGTGTGTGTGTGTGTGTGTGTGTGTGTGTGTTGTGCCCATAGAGGACAACACATTGATATTGAATCTCTTCTTTAATTCTTTTCCACCTTATTGAGACAGGGTTCCCCACACCACAACGAACCTAGAACTCTATGATTCAGCTAGATTGACTGGGCAGTGAACTCTAGCTCTGTGCTCTCCCCATCCCCTACCACCCTAGAGCTGGAATTGCACACACACCATTGTACCAAACTTCATGGGTGGAACAGAATTCATGCATATGTAGCAAGCACTTTAGTGACTGAGACATGTTTTCATCCCTATCTATTTTTAAATTATTTTACTCTTTTATGTGAATGGGATTTTTGTCTACATGAATGACTGGGCACAGCATGTGTGCCTGATGCTCTCAGAGTCCAGAAGAGGTGTCAGATCCCCCGGGGTTGGAATTAAAGCTGGATATAAGCTGACACATGGGTTCTGGGAATCAAACCCAGGTCCTCTAAAAGCAACCAGTGCTTTTAACTACTAGCCTCCTTCTAGCCCCTTAGTGTTCCTTATTACTTGTTTATTAATGTCAAATTTATATTATTCTAACATTTAAATTTTTAGTTTATTTTAGTTATTATATGTTCTTGAATGACACAGAAAATATTCCCAAATAAGTGTCGCATTCTGATGTTTCTTTAAGCAGAGTTAGATTTTTAATGAAATTGAGGACAAGAATTCTCTATTTCTAAGAAAATATGGTTATCATTTTTCCATTTATAGCTTGTGGGGGTGAATTAACAGGAGAAGGAGTCATTCGCTCACCTTTTCATCCTAATGCATATCCTGGACAAAGAACCTGTAGGTGGACCATCTCCCAACCACCAAAACAGATTGTTCTCCTCAACTTCACTGACTTCCAGATTGGAAATTCCCCCTGTGATACTGACTATATTGAGGTAAGAGTGAAGTACCATTGAATTTTACTAAAGGCATTATATGCTGTTTATATGAAAAGGTCCATTGCTTATACAGACCAATATCTCATAAATATAGACATGAAGTTTCCTAGCAGAATGCTACTTAATAGAATACAATATGTACATGATTATATACCATGATGAAGGGGATTTTTCCTAGCATGTGTAGAATTTATTATTATGTCCTAAAAATCAGTGAACATTATAGTACAGAATATAACAGTGTCAATAAAAGAAAAGACAATCTATTCACTCAATAAAATGCAAAAAAACCCACCACTTGACAGAATCTACCTGCTTCTTATAATAAAAACAGTTTTAAAAACTGTGGAAAGAGGAACTTTCTTAATTTGATATAAGCACCAAAAATGTACAGATACCATCATATACAGTGATGGAGGTACTAAATGCTTCACCTCTGAGATTGGATGAAAGACAGGCATGTCGTCTTATCATTTCTGCTCAGCACTGTTCTGGAAACTCTTGTTAGAGCAATGATGCAAGAATAAAATCCACCCTTAATGGAAACAAGAAATAAGACTTGTTCTACTCATAGTCCCCAAAAGAGACTGATTCTACACTCCACCATCACCACCACACACTTATTGATTGCTGATAGCATCACCACCAAGGGCGACAGTTTTCCAAAATAGATATTTCATAAAAATTAATTTGGCTATATCTACTTTTCCTTAGGTTGGTGGCAGTTCTGTCTTAAGTTCTCCTGGAAATGAGAAGTTTTGTGGCACAAACATACCATCCTTGTATACATCTGTGCATAATGCTATCTATGTCACATTTGTGAAAAGTTCTTCTATGGAAAATCGTGGCTTCACGGCTAAGTACAGTACTGAGAATTTAGGTAGGAGCATGTCTCTCTCCCCCTTTTATGCTGCTATCAGAATAAATGGGCAGTTAAACTAGGGATGTGTGTCTATGTGTGTAGGGCTCTGGGTTCAATCTCCACCTCTGGAAAAACAATTTCATACAATAAATGAATTATATAAAATCAATTATTCTGTGAATAATTATGAAGTACACTTAAAAACAAAGACTACACTTTCAACAAATACTTAACAATAGTTATCATGTATTCACTAATAAAAGAGAAGACTAAGCTATCATACATGGCAGATAAAAAGCAACAGTTTTCTTATGTGCTTTTTTTATCATTTTTTATTTGAATTAGAAACAAGATTGTTTTACATGACAATCCCAGTTCCCTTCTCCCTCCCGTCCTCCCCTACCACCCCCCAACTAAAACCCTATCTATCGCATACCCTTTCTTCTATATTATAAGCACATTTTATTTTGGGACCTGTGTACCTTATTCATTAACTGTTGTGATTATTGTTATTGTTATTATTTTTGCAGAATGTGGAGAAGTTCTAACAGCAGCAATGGGAACCATTGAAAGCCCTGGTTATCCAGATATCTACCCAAGTGGTGTAAATTGTATTTGGCATATAGTAGTCCAGCAAGGCAACCTGATTCGTTTGACATTCGATTCATTTTCTCTGGAGTTTCATTACAATTGCACAAATGACTACTTGGAAGTTTATGACACTGTTGCCCAGACATCTCTTGGGAGGTAAGAATTTTCGGTTGTTTATGCTGAAGTATAACATATAGACTTTTTGTGCACATATGAACAAAGTCAGTTCTGCACTTACATTGTTGTTGGGTTTTGTGTGTGTGTGTGTGTGTGTGTGTGTGTGTGTGTGTGTGTATTCTCTGGCAACCTATTTTGACCTTACATACAGTTATATTTTGAAATAAAGTGCATGGACTAGTAAGGCCTACCTTATTGACAAATACATGATTTATCATAGTCATTGTTTCACGGGTACTAACACAAAATACCCACCTGGTGTGTATTTTTAAAGACATGATATGTCATCAACTATAGTCACCTTGCCATGTAATAGATATCTTGGGATGTTCTCTCCTTTCTACATGACTTTTACCAACATCTTTCCTTCTTTCCCAGTTATCCTTAGGCTCTGATAAGCTCCATTTCATTACCTTTTAAGAATCCATATATCAGTGATATTATGTGGTACTACTAATTCTATGCCTGCATTATTTAGTTTAATTAATGTCCTCTGAATTTACCTATTTTGTTCTGAATGGGAAGATTGCATTCCTTGTAAAATAGTGTAATAGTGTTCTATGATATATATAAATGCACCACAATTTTTATTCATTATTCATTTATCTATGGTGGGCACAGAGTGTTTCAACATCTTTGCTATTGTGTATAAAACAGTAATAAACATAAGAGTGCAGTTACCTCTTCAACATCCTGCTTTAATTCCCTTCAGATACAGTCTCAGTAGTAAGATCACCTGACCATAAGATAGTTACATTTTTAACTTCTGAAGAATTCCTATATAGCTTTCCACAATGGTTCATTCACATTCTCACTAACAATGCATGAGTATTATTTTTTTCTCTACATTTCCAACAACAACAAAATCTCTTATTTATAACAGCCATCATAACAGGATGAGTCTGTGACAGAGTTTGAATGAGAATAGCTCTATAGGCTCCTATGTTTGAATGCTTGGTTCTCAATTAGTGGAGCTGTCTGGGAAGGATTACAGGGTGTGGCCTTGTTGGAGGAGAGGCATCAGTCACTAGGAGTGGGCTTTGATTTGAGGTTTCAGGGTTTTGTTTCTCTGTGCCTGCTGTCTGTGGACCAGGGTGTAAAGCACTTAGCTACTACTCTAGTACCGTGCTGACTGTTCCTGCCATGGTAAGAATGAACTAACTCTGCAGCTGTGACCAAGCTCCCAATTAAATGCTTTCTTTTGTAAGAGTTGCCTTGGTCATGATGTTTCTTAACAGCAATTGAACAGTAACTAAGACAGTGATAATATATCATTGTGTTCTTGAGTTTTCATTTCCTTGTTAATGAGTAAATAACACTCCCTTTTTTCATAGATTCATGACTCGTTCTATGTCTTGTTAGGGATAATGCCCAAAATAATTTGCCCTTTATTTTTTGGTCAGATTATTTGTTTCCTGTTGTCATTACTAAGTGGTTTGTATTCCTCATATATCTTGAATATTAACTGTTTCTCCAATGTATAGTTTGCCAGTAATGCCCATTCTATGGGCTGAATCTGCATTCTGCTGGGTTCCTAGCTATACAGAGGCTTTGTAGGTTGCTAGAATCGCATCTGTCTGTCTTGGCTTGCCTGTGCTTTTGAGGTCATTTCTATAGAAATTTGTCCAGACTCATATCATAATGTGTTTTTACTTGTCACTTCACTTCCCACATTAACTCTTTAACACACTTTGAGTTGTTTTTATTTATTTAATTTGTCTGCATATGCATATTCATGTTTCCCAGCATTTAGTACCACATAACTATGCAGAGTCTGTACATCTATCTATGCATTGATTTTTCGAAACCTTCTAAATCTTTGTGATATACTTGTAATTATTTTAACATCTTTACTCATTCAGTGATTATGTAAGTACATGCTATGTTTTAGTTGATAATTCTCCCTCATTATGAGTTACAGTTTCCTGTTTCTTTTTGTACTTGACACTTGATAGGTTGTTAAGAATTTTTAATTATATGTTTTAGGCACCAACCATTATACATTCTTGTAAAAATATTTTTGGATTTTGTCCTGTAATATTAAGTCACTTGAACCAAAGTTGGTCCTTTCCAGTTTCCCTTTTAATTCATTTATTTCCTGTCCTTGAGGATTTCCCCCCTCATTTGCTATTGTGTCTTGAGAGCAACTTACATATTTCCCCCACAGTTTCAGAATTTGTAGTGCAAAATTAAACCCAGTCTCCATTATTACGTTTGTGTTGAAAGCAGAGTTATTCTGATTGCTTTTTAAGTGTTTATTTATATCAGTTTATTGGCTGTATGTATGTCTTTGTATCACATGAGTGGTGCCCACAGAGACCAGAATTGGATCCTCTGGAACTGGAGTTACATACAGTTACTAACCTCTATGTAGATGCTGGGAATTGAATCCATATCCTTTAGAAGAGCAGACAGTGGACATAACTGCTGAGCCATCTCTCCAGCCTCCTCTCATTGCTTCTTTTCAAATTTCTTGTCATATATTCTTTTCTTTTTATCTATTAACTTTGTAAAAATTTTCCCTTTTTAAGTTAGTCTCTACATTTCTTCCTTCTGTCTTTACTGCTTCTCGCCCTCTTTTGCGTCTCACCTCAGTCTTCCATCATTTGACTTTTTTCTTTTTCTTTTTTTAAAGTAATATCTGGGTACTTTTCACCGTGACAAAAATGCAATTTTTGCTGAGGGGAATGAACTTTAATGATCATGTTCCTATTTAGGATACAAGGTCATGTGTGCACATGTATTTATTAATTTATCTGCCTTCATTCTTATTAAGATGGTGATTCTCTGTTGATACTAAAATGCTAGTCTACATCAAACTTCTTCAATTCTAGTACTTCTCATATTCAACAATTTAGCTTATTTTTGTCCCATATTATTTTTTCTCTTTGGTCCCAAGCATGCATTGGTTTAAGATTTCTATTTTTCTAGCCTTTTCTTCTTACACATGTTTATCAAGATAAAATATCATGGCATAATGTCATTTACTGTAGTTGTGTTTTACGTATTACTAGAATAGACTTTCTGAGTAAACTTCCTTTGTTATGCAGGAACAATGACATGGTTTACTAATTATACCTTTACCTTTCCACAAGCTAGCTGTTTTAAGACAGTTGGCAGCTTACACCAGAGGTCACTATCCAGACACTGTTTTCAATGTTATGTAAAGTATACCGACTGATAAAGATGTTAAGAACTGTGTGAAATAGACAGAGAAAGTGAGGCAGAGCAATTGAGCTATGTGCCCAAAGTCATGATGCCCCTGAGTGACAGGACTGACTGGGGCTTGTGCTGGATTAGAGATTCCTTTTATCACAGTTCCATGAATGAGTTTCTTAATATGATACCAGCAGGCTAATGCTGCCCCTGCTTAACTTCCCATTTATGTCAAGGCACTCAGCTGGACATACAACTCTTTCAGTTAGGGAATCATGAACACGTGTGTTTTTGCTGTTACTGAAATGTATTTGGTTTCGAGGTTGATAGGAAATAGATAATAACCCATTATCATCTTTACATGTCCTAAAGTTTTGGAATATTAGTTCAAATATACTATGTGTCTAAAAATCTGTTTATCTCTTCTTTCTTTGTTTGCAACAGATATTGTGGAAAATCCATCCCACCTTCTCTTACTAGCAGTTCCCATTCAATAAAGTTGATGTTTGTGTCCGACTCTGCTCTTTCACACGAAGGATTTTCAATAAAGTATGAAGCATTTAATGCATCATCAGGTAACATTTTTATTGCAAATGATATCTAATGTCTAAAACACAGAAATACCTGAAATAAAGTATAAATCCAATATCAACCTTATTAAAAATAGGGTAATCCCACACTATCTGAGCTCTGTGCCTTTTTAGGGATTCTGGCCCTTAATTTTTAGAGCAAACTTAGAAAGATACTCGACGGAGTAAAGTAGCATAAGTGCATTTCCATAGCAGGTACATGGTACCTCTACTTTCCAAGCATTGCACATTTCTAGGGCTGGACATATTCTTTCTGGGAGTCTTGTGTCCAGCCATCTTTGAGGTGCTCTTTTCTACAGCTCTTACTCGTATAATAAAGAAAAAGTTCTCTCACCCTAGTCCCTAGCCAGCTTTTCACTTTCTTCTCCTCCAGGGAGTTTGGTCACTGTACCTTAATCCAGGCAAAAGTAGTTCAACTTCTGTGTTGTGGAAGCTTGGCTTTAGTAATTGAGAGTGCACAAGACTTGTGTATGTGCATTTCTGGTGGAACTCACTCTAGCAGATAGTACGTTATCCAGCCCAAGCACCTGGGTGTCAAAGCCCAAGGATTTAAAATATAGTGTGTTGTGTAATAGACATTTTTAACTGGGCCTTATTCAGGTGGTTAACAGTCAAAGACCAAAGTGGATTTCTCAGCAAATTACAGTGTGTGTGCATACTTCTATAGCTACATCTCTCTCATATGTTTGGCCCTAAACCACAGTGAATATTAGATTTGGAATAAGTCATTTGAGCTTTGGGAGGCACAATTTTCTCATCTGTGTAATTAAAAGATTAGATGTGATGATCTTGGAAATGTTTTCTGGTTCTAATCCTCTATAAATATAATTTTAATTTGCTGCATGAATAAACTCATTGTATTTTAAATAACACACAATTCAGGCAGTGCCTCTTGAAAATATCATGGAGATCTTCATAATAGTATACAAAATGAAACATAGGTCTGTAATGACTGAAATGCTTGTGTTAACACCACACCAGCTTAGAAGGCAGTATGAAGGGAAGTGACAGCTGAGAGCCATTAACAGAAACTAGGAAGGAGGATGACAAATGTAAAACTTAGTGAAATTGCTCAGAAAGATATGATGCAGGAAAAACTCAACAAAGTAAGCTAAGCAGGAAGGAAACTGATAGGGAGACCAGAGTTTGGAGTATGCTCAACTACAGTGCATGCTCAGAATGCATGGCTGAGCTCAATCTCTCCCAAACCCCTCTAACATAGAAGAACAAAGGAAAGGGAAGAAATGAGAGGGGAAAAAAACCAAGTGTTAGAAAAGAAGACACTGAAGGAGCAACTGCAAAGATCCTCTGCCCTGCTTCCCCCTGTGTTAGTCATTACTCCAACCCCCGCTTGGTTTTAACTGAGCTGAAGTCACAGTTAAGGGAGCACATTATCTCTGCCCTTTGGTTGTTCATTGTGTGTCTGCTTTTTGCTGGATGTACTCATAGGACTGGTTAACACAGTCACACCATTTGAAATAGCAATTGGATGATGGGTCCCAGAAAGTCATTTGGGTGGCTGGATGGCATGACCTGCTGAGGCCAGCCCTGTGGTATGGTAACAGCTGGTTCAAGAGATGGGAACAGAGGTTAAGTGAGTGGTGGCCAGGCAGTTGGCTAGTGCTCCCAAGAGCCTTGGTGAAATGAGCTGTTGGCTGGAAGGACAGAGGTGAGGATTGTCTTTTTTTTTTTTTCTGGGTATGTTCTGTATACTGAAATCATGTCAGATAAAAGCACCATAGGACACCCAATCACTGGCCTGTAGGCTATTTTATTCCTCTGGCAGAATTCATGTTTTGAGTGATGATGATAGTTTGAACTGCTGATGTCTAGTTTCTTAGAACAGCCCACAGATGTTTCCCGCTCAATCTGTCCTGCTGTCATTTGATAGAGTCAAAATTTCCTGATTTGAGTCCAGTTACACTTCCATCTGTATAGTTCCTGCAATAATACCATGATGTCAGCCCTTAAATATGTGTTTGGGAGGAAGGAGTCGTACTCTGACTCCCTCCCTAAGCATTTTGCTGCAGTTCTCATTCAAATGTGCCAGGGCAGATAAAAACAAAAGATATAACAAAAATAACAGTGTTCGGTAGAAACTCATCAAAACTCCTCACCACCAATTATAACTTTCAGCATTTACTCTCATGAAGTAGAAAATATTTAAATATTGAAATAATACAAATGGTATACTTTACCATTTAAGTTGCAATCATATACATATTAACATCTATTACTCATCCACTGATCAAATATAGAACTAATAAGAAAGAAACTTACAAGTATAAATAAGAGCAGAAATGAACTTAAACTTTAAGATTAAATGATGGTTATTTAACAGTTACTCCTTTATTTTTCAAACTATTCCTGATTCATTCATTAAAAATGTGGAGTTGGATGAAAACAAAAGAGTGGAAAGTATCAGAGTTTCCATACAAAGTTGAGCAACTTGTCATGAAATATGTCTAAAACTTTCAGTAGGCATGATTGAATTTTATTTTTATGATGTGTCAGGAAAGTACAAAGCACAGTCTAGCCTAATTAATCTTTGAATGAGGGAGATAGCAATCTAGAATGTTGAATCTGTCATCTAAGAAAAATAGCTCACTTGTTTAAGAGCCACACTAAAGAACCAGGTTTCACTACATAGTCCATTTCCATTGTCATTCACTACAGGGCCACAGTAAAACTGTGGTGAATGTTTCATACTTTTTGCAAAGAGAAGAGCTTCACAATTATGCGGAGATGTAGCCAAGCCTGATCCAAAGAACAATATCATGAACAAATATAAATATAAAAAGGTGAATCCATTGGGATTTGCCACCCATCTCGTTCCCTCTTATACCTCAGTGAGTATTTAGTGCTAGTTTTCACCAGTCACCTTGAAATGAACCCAGAAAGAGAATGCATGAAGTTAAGAAATAATAGCAAGAAGACCATAGGGAATTTATTCCAAGAAATGGGCAGAGAGCATTCTGTTTCTATTTTTAAAATTTCAATGTGGTAAAGAACAACATTCTCAGACTCTAATGGTCATTTTTAAAAAATCCTCAGGAAGAGGAGGTTGTCTTGTTATAAACTCAGCTATCAGAGTTCAATCAGAAATTCTGATTAAGGTCTAGAGTAAACTTTTACTGAGCAATTCAAGTGGGTCTAATTTAATTCATCTTTATAGTTTTTTTTTTTTTAAAAAAAAACTATTACAGAATGGCATGGCTTGTGCTCATGTTTGAAGATCCTGTTCACTGTAGACTGAAAGTAAGGCCAAAGAGAGTCCGTCCATTGTTAGTGCCAGCTTGACTGGAACACCTTGTGAAAGTTTCAGGCCTTCCTTGCTTGTGTACCTCAGTCTGAAATTACATGCTCAGATATTTTTGGGATGTTATTTTTTTTCAAATCTATTAATCTCTAAACTAGTTCCATCTCATAAATCTTAAATGTTTTCTTATGTTTGTGTGTACAAATAGCCTAGCACTTCTCTTCTGGGTTTGTGTGTGCACATGCATGCCTGTGCATGAGTAATCACCTATATGTTGGTCCTTAGAATGAAAACAGTGCTTAATTGTCATATTTTTTTAGTCCCTTACTAGTCTAGGGTGACATTTCCTCTGTAGAAAAACTAGGAATTACAGGACTGGGGAGGTGGATCAACAGGCAAAGTGCCTGTTGCGTAAGCATGAGGACCTGAGTTCAAACCCCAGGTACCATGTAAAAAGTAAAGCTACGACTGGTGGTCTACACCTGTCATCTCAGTGCTGGAGGGTGTGGACAAGCCAGATTCAGAGAGTTATGGCTAGCACAAAGCGCAAGCTTAGGTTAAATAAGGGACTCTTTCTCAAAAACTAAGTGAAGAAGTGATGGAAGAAGACATCTGACAGTCAACCTATGCCTCTGCAATAACCACCACCACCACCGCCCCCCCCCACACACGAAAGTGTACCTCCACACAAGTACACACTTGTGCACATACACAAAAAACAAACTAGGGATTATTAAATAATTCAGGACTTGAAGAGTTCAAATTTTATCTTGTGTCCAAACTAAAAGAATTTTAAAACTTAATCTCAAACAGTCTCAGTCCTCTTCCACACCTCTTTAACTAGAGGGGAGGTCTATGTTGTTTCACAGTATATAAAAAAATAAAATGAGACATTCAATATAAAAATTACATTTTGGTAGGCTGGAAGGATAGCTCAGTGATATAGTGCCTGCTTGAGCTGAGATCCCTGCCATCTATGAAAAAAAAAAAAAAAGCCAGGCATGAATGTGATCTCATGCACCTATGACCTCATTGCTGGGAAGGCGAAGGATTCCTGGAGTCTGCTGGACAGCCAGCCTAGCAGAATCGGTGAGCTTTGGGTTCAGAGACAGACCCTATTTCAAAAAATTAAGGTGGAGAAGTGATGAAGGAAACATTGGCATTGACCTTTGGCCCTCTCATGTACATAAATACATGCACCCATGAACATGCATACACAGAGTCTCACGAATCATATTATGCATGTAAAGGCCTTGGCCTTGCCAGATTTAAAATGGGATTGCTGATACCCACACAGTTCTATAATAGTTGCTGTGCTTGTATTCATGACCATCTGACAGGTCATCTGTGAGGACAAAGAAAAGGCAGATGGCACCGAACCTATCTTCTTACAGGGTGTGCACAGAATCTGTTCTTTTGCATGGAAAAATCTTTGTCCTTTTATGGCTAATGGGCTTCTGTTTCTTATCTAGGAAATGTTTGCTTGTCAAAATTATGAGGAATTCCTCTATGTGTCTTTTAAAAGTTTTATAGCTTGAGCTTTTAGGTCTGCGATTCATCTTAATTTCTCAGTATGGTCTAAGTTAAGTTTCCAAGACCATTCATTTAGGAAAACAATATTCAGCTGTGCAAGGAAGTGTCTTGACCCTATCTCCCCCAACTCTACCCCTCCCCAGAATTCCCTTTAAGTCACTGCAGGCAGCAGTTGGCCATGTGTATCATGTCAGTGCTTCTGGAAGGCCATGGTGTCCACATGGGGCTTTATAGAGAAAGGACAGTCCATTACATAACATTATAGGCTCCTGCTCTATAAAGATGTGGAGGGGAGATTTCTACAATGACATATCCTTTTCAAAAATTTTCTTTTGGTGACCTTAGAAACTCTCCATTACCATGCACATTGTAGAAACAGCCTTTTGCTTTTTATCATTTTTTAATGAAATCATATTAAATTTATAGAATAATTTGGGATTACAAGACATCTCAAACTGTCTTCATTCCATAAATATACTTTTACTTGCTGTCTATTCATACTTTTTCTATTTTTATGAGAACTATTTTAAAGTTCCTAGTGTTGACTTTTACATTTTCACTCAAATCATCGTGGGTAAATATTCCCTTAACTTGCTTGACTGTCAACAGGGACTATAAACTGTACACTGTTTTCTTTGTAGAATGGTTTTTAATGACAGATTGAATTTCTTTGATGGATTGAGGCCACAGAAGCTCTTTTTTCTTTCCAGTCAATTATGGCAGTTTGTGGCTGTGAGCAAATTTGTCAAGTTTATCTGCTCTGTTTCTGTGAGACTGGTCTTTTACCGATTGGAGACTCTATAACGAGTCTTCCTCTTTCACTCTTTATTTCTATCCCACTTGACTTGATTTCAGTTCTCATCTATGTATTTCTTTTATTGTGATATTTATTTAATTTGTTTCTCCTGAGAGCTTGTTCAAAAGTTCTGGTAGATGGGGCATGGAGCTAGTCTTCTCTTTGACTATAGAGTGGGGGTCTTCTGTCTTCTTTTGCATAGGGATTTCCTCAGATCCAGAGTACAGGTGGGACAAAGAAAAGGACACACAGTTGCCCACCTAGACAGACTCACTACAGCAGTCCTCATAGCAGATGGCCCTCAAGTCCTGTTTGCTTTTCTTTTTCTAGTTTCTTTGGGTGAATATTAGCTAGTTTGCTTTCTAATTAGAGAGATGATTTACTTTAAATATATGAATAACTGGCTAACACTAGAAACTGTGTGTGGACTCATGGGTTTATCAGTTGTGTCACTTAAGGGACACTGTGTCTTAAATTCAATTTACAGCCCATTAGTTTGATTAATTTCGACTAGTAATATTCATAACTGGTATGGAGCATTTAGGATAAGCCTCTTCCCATTACTTGTATCATTCTCTCTCATCCCCATCATCTTTTCTTCCTCCCCTTTACCTTCATTCACTGGCTCCTTTCTTGCCTACCCTTTTTGGGTAAACTATAACTGTGTGTCTTCTCAATTAATTAAGCCTTGATTTTTAGAATAAGCTCAAATATTTGATAAATATTTATTACTTCATGGGACCCACATAGATAGTAGAGCCTATAACATTTTACGTGTGTCATTGTGTTCCCAATACCAATCATCTTCCCCCCACCTGGATGAATATATGGCACAATTGGGAAAATGTAACTATACAGCCTCAGCATTTATTTCACTTGGAATAAAACATAATAGCTCGTTCTCTCCTACATCACAGTTAAACTAAACTTTCTTTGTAAGACGTCTCAGATTGTAAGAGAATAAGGGAGTGATGGGTTGTTTATTGAGCAGAGTCTGAAGACACTGAACAGGCAAAATTCAAACACACTGGAGCAGTTGCTGTTTAGTTAGGATGCAGCCTTCCAGGAAGGTTGCTAATTATTTGATGGTAATAATTAAACATACTCTTCAAAATTATACTTTACTTAGGCCCATTCTATTTTGGAATATAATGATGATTATTGTCATATATTTATGGTAAGGTGGACACGTTAGCTGCATCATCTCATTGTCTTAAAACAATACCCAAAGTTAGTAATCATCACCATCATGGAAATGAGAGAGCTGAGATCAGGAGATGAATGGCTTGCTTGTTTCCATAGTATGTCTGTACCCGAGACAGGCTTTGATGGAAGGTCCCCTTAATGGCAGATGTGTCTTACCACACCTAGCTCTGGCTTCCATACCTCTCATAAATACACACATTTATAAAGGAAAATTATGAAGAGAAGTACAGAACTGAATTATTTCTAAACTCCCTGATATCTGCATAGTTTAACCTAATTTTAATGTTTATGGTAATTTACATGAATTAGAAAAATTGTAACACTTCTAGGACTGAAAGTGTTATCCTCTCAAAATATGTTACTATGTCTGCTACATTGTTAAGATTTAGTACTTGATTGCATCTGAAATTTTAAAAACATTATTTCAAAATGAGCATTAAGAAAATACTACTGAAATTCAAGTACAGGGACACAAATTAATGCAGGACACATTACTGGATATATGCAAATGTATAATGTTTTTCATTTCTCTCTTTTCACAGTGTGCTTACAAGACTATACAGATAACTCTGGGACACTCACCTCCCCGAATTTCCCCAAAAATTACTTCAATAACTTGGATTGCACCTACAGGATCACAGTGGGCTTCAATCAACAGATTGCATTGAATTTTACAAGCTTCATGTTGGAGAACAAAGTGGGGAAAAATTGTATCGACTTTGTGGAAATCAGGTATGGGCTTTTATTTCATTATAACCTTTATTTTCATCAATAATCCCAGAAAAGATTAAAGGAAACATGGAAAGTTTTGTAAAGTTATCTTATACATTCTTTATTACAACATGAAATTTGTCCTTTTAAGCGTGATATAGAAGAAAAGGAGAAATTGTATAAGATTTGATGATTGTTTGAGATTGACTTTCTTGATTAAATTATGTTTACATTCATGTGTGTGAGTGTGGCTGTGTGTATGGATGTGTGGTGCCTGTAGAGGCCAGAAGAGGATGCTGGAGCCTCTGGAGTTGCAGGTGGTTGTGAGCTCTCTGTTGTGAATACTTGGAATTGAACTCTGGTCCTCTGTAAGAGCAATAAGTAATCTTAACTACTGAGCCATCTTCTCCACCCCCAATAGTTATTTCAAATTCTTACATCAGGAATACTTTGGAATAAACTTCAGATTTTATTTAGGAAGGAAATAGATATACTACTACTCCATAAAATATGATACTCACTATTGTTGAAATCTACTTTTGTTTCCATTGCTGTGATAAAATATCTTGACCAAAAGGAACTTAGGTGAGGAAGGCTTTATTGTAGCACACAAGTTCAGGTTCTAGTCTGTCATAGCAGGTGAGCAAGGTTCCAGGAACTCAGCTAGTCACATCATACCCACAGTCGAGCAAAAAGAAACAAATGCATGCACACTTCTTACTAGATTACTTCATTATTGTGCTCTGCTCCATTTCTCTGTGTCATATAGTTCAGAAACCCCTGTCTAGGGAATTATGTCACTTACAGTGGCTGATTCTTCCCATCTTGGTTAATTAAATGAAGACAACACCCCCACAGACATGGCCACAAGCCAACCCAGTAGCCTCATTAAGATGCCTATGCCAGATGATTCTGGGTTGTGTCAAGTTGATGGTCAACACCTACCATCATAGTGAAGTACCTTCATTCTTTATGTAAAACCAGTCTAAGGATTAGGGTCTTTGCTCTTTATTTAATCTAATTATATCACTAGAATCGCTGGTATAATAGCAACCTTACCTTGTTTTTAAATAAGTCAAAAACTGTGGATTTCAGTGCTTGAAATTTTCTTTTACTATTTGTATTCTGAATAAATGTATTTTTAAAAAATTCTATCACTGGCAGTGGTATATTAGTATATATCTACCTATTATACTCTTGTATCATTACATTAAGTAATATTAGGCTGATCATTTTGGTAAACAACTGTATCAAGTATTTTAGTTGCCCTTCGAACTTGGAATCTTTCAATACTTTATTATAAATTTTATTCTTTGCTATAAAGTGAGATACTAAATTAACAAATTATAATTGAACCATATCATGCTAAAATAACATAATTTTCTTTGACAGAAGGGGGAGTTTAAGAGTCTCATTCTGTAGCCTGAGGTGGTTCAGAATTCACTAGATAGTCCAGGCTGACCTCAAACTCACAGAAATCCTCCTGACTCAGCCTACTGAGCTATGATTATAGGTGTAAACTTTCATACTCAGCTTAATTTTCTTAATTTATAGCAACTAAGCACTTGGAGTTAACATTCAATGAATCATCTTTTTAAAGAAAATACCTAAAGATCTAAAATCCTCCAAACTTCTTAGGAAGATAATTTCTACAATTTTCCCAACTATTACCAATATGTTATATTATATCTTGAAGACTTCTAAATCAGTATCAAATATGTAATATTTCTTTAAAATTAAAAATATTGGTTTATACTGTGGATAACTGGTTCTATATTCTTCATTCTCTGATCTATTTGCCAGAGGCTTTGATAAGGTGAATGTCAAATACATTGCCTCTGCAACTGGTGTAAAGATGCCATAAGTAACAGATACACTTTACGAAGTCATTCAAAGTTTAGTCAGTAAAGAATAAGACCTGAGAACTTGACCTTATGTTGTTTAAAGTAGTGTCTAGGAGATGCTAGCTGAGGAGATTGGCAGTTCATCTGCATCCCCATACTTTGAGTTAAGTTGTGTGTTTATTGTATGTTGCAAACTGTAACTTAATCCATTTTCATTTCTGTACCTGTCACAGAGATGGAGGCTATGAAACTTCACCACTCCTTGGAAGATACTGTGGCTCAGTTTTGCCTCCTCTAATCATCTCTCACAGTAACAAGCTATGGCTAAAGTTTAAGACTGACAGCACATACACACAGAGAGGTTTCTCAGCTTCCTGGGTTGGATCGTCAACAGGTAAGTAGCAAAGACCTGGATTTTTATTGGAGAAGCCAAACTGATTGGTTTCTTCATTGTCAAGCCGTCACCACTTGTCAATTTTCCTAGTTAACTTTCATCATTCTTTATAATAAATTACAACATCATAAATGTCTTTGGATTAACAGCAGCATATATTTTGAAGGAAGAGTAAAGTTCTAGTTCCCCAGGAAATTGTATCAAGCATTTGTCTTGACTAGAAAAAAAGAAAGTCTGTCAATGTGAAGCAGAACTTTACATGATATGTTCTGAGATGCTTTGAAGAGGAACACAGGTTGCGCGTGGTGGCAAACTCCTGTAATCCCAGACCCCGGGAGGCAGAGGCAGGAGGACCCCAAGTTTGAGGCCAGCCTAGACTACAAAATGAGTTCTTGTCTCTGAAAGCCAAAGGCCTGAGGTGTGAGACTGAGGTGGTAAAGCTCATGCTTACCATGTGTGAGGCTCTGAGCTCTATCCCCAGCTCTGAGCTCTATCCCCAGCATTGGAGAGGTCGGCATACAAAGAAGAGCCAGAGTAGCTGCAGGATGATTGAGCCACGGTTAATCTTTCAGGAAGAAAAGGCCATGTTTCATTCACTTTTCCCCTCTGCAGGCTGTGGAGGCAAACTCACCACTTCCACAGGGTTGTTCACATCCCCCAACTACCCGATGCCCTACTACCACAGCTCTGAGTGCTACTGGTGGCTGGAAGCCAGCCATGGCAGTCCTTTCCTGCTGGAATTCCAAGACTTTCACCTGGAGCATCACCCCAACTGCTCTCTGGATTACTTGGCCGTATGTATAATGAGTCTCTGTGCCGTTTGATGCTCCCCTCTTACTCAGTACACAAGATGCATTTAAAAAATATTTTTAAGATTCAAAAAGCAGCAAGATTTAAGAGGGGAATTCACATAAAAGATTTAAACAAAGTAAAACCTTAAAGAGATGTGGAAAAATGGCAGCCTTCTACACAGAATGTACTGAATGACTTGATGCATTAATTATTTAAGGTATTTTACTATAAGCCATAAAGCTTTGATAAAAATATCCTGATTAGTTATGGACTTTACCCTGACCATATCTATATGACTTTTTATATGTGTTGAAAACTTATTGAGGTGAATTAGAGTAGATAGTAAACTCATGTAGCTATGTCTTTCTATAGTTCCTGCAATTCACTGTGTTCCTCTAGGATTCTGTAAAAGAAAATGGGCTGAAATTTCACACATTACACATTTTAGAATAAAAAAAAGCAAGACATATGACTTATGGTCTCAAAGTTTGTACTGAATTTCCATTTTGCATGTTCAGGTTTCATTCTCAGTTCACTTACTTACTGTTGCACATTTCAGTTCATTGCCCAAGTCTAGAGACACATTGATATAATTTACAATTATTCTTTTGCTAAAGAATACATATATTTTGTCCCCATTTCTTTATTGAAAAGTCCTTTATGTTCATAACCTTGACCATCTGATGTGCAAAATGTCTTATTAAAGGTGTACGATGGGCCAAGTACCAACTCCCATCTGATAAGTAAACTCTGTGGAGACATCACACCAGCTCCCATCCGTTCCAGTAGAGACAGCATATTGTTGAAACTGAGGACAGATGAAGGTCAGCAAGGACGTGGCTTTGAAGTAAAATACTCGCAGAGTAAGTACAAATTCCAGCAGCAGAGAACCCCCAGATAATGTTAACCAGTGGTTTGAGCCTTTGAAATTAGTCTTTGGTTCTTATGTGAAAACTTTGGAGTCATTGGAAGGAAAAATTGATACACAAATGTTATAGGTAGAAAACAGAAGCAAAGAAGACTCACTACATGTTTCTAAATGCAGCAGAGAGATCAGAGTAGAGCCACGTTATTTGTCAAACAATGTATAAGAACTAATGTCTATTTTAATGTAGCTGTTCCGTTTTCATGACATTTCAATGCTTCAGTTCACCTAAATATTATTTCACATTATTCTGAGTGGAGACTCCTTCAGCATAAAAATGACATGCCATGTATACATATATATTTATTAATCCAGAGGGAAAGTGGGAAAATCTTGATGTCATCTTAAACAGGAATCATATATATATATATATATATATATATGATACATATATGTATAGATAGATTAGATAGACATATAGATAGATAGATAGATATCAGAGACATTATGACAGATTTGGAAGTTGTTCTTAACATTTATGGCTGTTTTGTTTCCCAGCATGTGACAATGTAGTAATAGTGAATAAAACCTATGGCATCTTGGAGAGCATAAATCATCCAAAGCCCTATGACCTTAATCAGCGATGTAACTGGACTATCCAAGCAACAACAGGCAATACTGTGAACTACACATTTCTGGAATTTGATGTAGAAGAGCATGTAAACTGCTCCCTGGATTATTTAGAGGTAAGTGTTCTGAAGCTCAATAAATAATTCTATCTTCATATCAAGTAAAAAAACAAAAAACAAAAAACCTATGCTAGAAGTTCTTCATACTTTTCAGAATCAAATCCCTAATGGTGCCCTTTGTGTCTGTAATACACCAACAACCAGTGTTATATGAATGGGTGTGTTTCATGTCTTCCATTGCACCAATTTTAACCTTAACCTAAAATTATTACCTTATTTGTTGTTTTCATGTTTGATCTCTATACATAAGCGAAAATGTTTGACTGTGTTTAATATCTGATTCTCCTGATACTAAGTATCATTTTTATATTTTAAAATTTAAGTTCACTCAAGTCAATATTCCATTTGCAAAATAGAAGTTTTATTTATTATGAAAATAGCCATCTGTAACATTAATTCAAATTTCTTTGTCAAACTTATGCAGTAGGAGTTGCTTTGGTATTAAATGTAGAATATGAGGCAATGTAGGATATGAGGTTATCTGGTATTTTTTTATTATTTTTTATTTGAATTAGAAAATTTGCTATTTTTATTCATGGGAAATTTCATTTAAGAAAGATTTTCTAATGACTTGTATGTGCAACTTTTGAAATTATAGATTTTAAAAATTAGGAAGACACTTATTCTGGTTTTTTTAGTATTAATATCCACATTAGTGAATATTAATTTAGATCTTGGTTTATAGTCTCATGTGTCATATGACCATATCATTTAAACAATTGGCATATATTTGACATCTATTTTCTATGGTTAATAGCATCACTTGTTGAGTCAGCTGACACATTACTTTTATTTCCCTCTTTGCTGTTAACACATGACACACTGCTGTGTCCACATGTGCTGCTCACTGGAAATCTTTTCTGAAGTGACAGGGACCCACTCTGTCTATATAGGCCATTTCCCCAAGTTTTCCATCAACTATATGATTTAGTGTAGGTTTTTTAAAGTGGAAGAGTGCTTGCCTGGAATGTGCAAAGTCTCTGGTTCAATACTTGTTAGAAATACACATGATTTGTGAAGTTTAGAAGTCTCACCTTCAAAGATTTCCCTAGCTTGCACTTGTAAGCTGAGACCATATTCCAGGGAAACAACCTTTGCAAACTTACTTAACTCTCTTTCACCAATTTTACTAAAGACTAATGTGATTATACTGTTGTTTGAGATCACCATGCCTTTTCCATTAGCTTTAAAAACTTCATTAGCTTTAAAAACAAAGAAGGAACATGTTTCTTTCTTTTTTTTCTTTTCTTTCTTTCTTTCTTTTTTTTTTTTTTTTTGAGAGACTCTTGCTTGAAGTCAAGAACATAAGGAGATTCCTTTGTTTGGGGGAAAGTTCTTTTGGATTAACAACAACAACATCAAAAATCAAATAAAACTTTACCCAGGTGTGGTGATTCATATCTGTAATCTTAGCACTTGGGAGATTGGGGCAGGAGGAATGTCAGCCTGAGGCCAACCTGAGACATAATAATAAGATTCTGTCACAGTAAAAAAGAGAACAATCAAGCAAACATAAAATACCCCCCATCTTATATGTAGACAAAAAAAATAAAGTATGTAGAAATAGTATTTACATATTACAAAGCTACTAGTTTCCCTAAGAAAATAGGACGCATTGCACAGCAAATTTATAAGCATGAAGTTCTAATGGCATTTGTTGTTGTTTGGCTTTTAGGTTTCAGAACAGGGTCTCCTGCTGTAGGTCAGGTTAGCCTCAAACTTGCTGGGTAGCCAAAGTTGGCCTTGAGAGCCTATTTTTGTTGCCTCCACCATCGAAATGTGGTGATTATAGGAACAAATCATGGCTGGCTTGTCAATGGCTTTAAGATCCACTTAACTTCCCCTCAAGGCAGATGCCTCCAGGAGCTCAGAAACTACCTTGTTTCGATTACACAACTGAAGTATACTTTTCTCTACATATAAGATTTTATTCATGATTTAAATTGCAAGTTTTACCAGTTAGAACTCTCATCCCATCCTAAACTTGTGACTTCTTAAAGTACTGGCTGTTTGATATTTACTTTGACTAAGTCCTTACCTTTCAATGAGACTTTGCACAAATTTACAAAACTGAGATTAAATTGTCACAGCCATATTTCAACTGTAGTTCAGTGATAGTTAGTAATTAATGAGAAAGAGCTGAATTCCACACTAATCTTTTTGTAAATTCCTATACATTCAGTCCAGTCCCACAGCTTTGAGCACCAACCACAACATGCATCAGAAGTCAAATGTTGGGTGTGTAACAAACACTGTGCTAAGTGGGCACCATGGTTATAATCTGAGATGTTACAGTGCAGAGAGCTAAAGAGAAGTGAATGGACAGATCTTTATTTGGGAGGAAGAGTAGGGAGGAAATGAAATGAACATTTCCAGGAACTACACCCACTTCTTTGGACATGCCTGGGGGGTACAATGGTAACAAAACATCTCCCCAGGTAATTTTTAGAGGTGTTTGAAAACTTGAATAAGAATACTTTTCCAACAGCTACAAAACAACTCATTAGAGGCCCTTGTGATGGTGTGCCTGTCATGTTCCAGGCACGCCATTTCTCTTGTGCAACATTGATGGTGAAAGTGCAGAAAGACAGAATGAGAAACAGAAGTTCAGAAAAGCCTTCCAAAGAATGACACTATTGCCAGAGGGAAGAGATTCTTTTCCATTGCTATAAGCCAAGGGGCAAGACTAGAGCCATAGCTGCAGAGGCTGGCCTGTGATGGAAAATTCAAAAACCCAACCATTTAAGGAGAAAAAAAGCCACAAGCAGAAAATCTCTAGCCTGCATTATTTTAATAATTTCTAGTTAAAGCTTTTTTTTTTTTTCCCTTCAAGTGACTTAGCCAATCCCCTATTGAGTGACAATTACTGGGCTCAGAAATCAGCTATTTTGAAGTAATAAAACTGAAACTATAAAAAGACTGGATTAGGTCCAGCCCAAACCTCACTGGGAAAGGAACCTACCCTTTATTATTTTATCCTCTGGCCAAAACAAAACACATGGCTTAGAAATGAGATCTCAGTGGGAGTACAGGGAAGGTGGGCATTGCTCATGCAGCTATATGAAGTCAATCTCAAGGAATCAGTCTGTGTTTCATAACGTGACTTCATTTCATATTAGAAGACATTTCTAATAGTTGACTGAGGATACTGGCAGAAGCAGTAGATTTGGGAGAAATCAGCACTCTAATGTAAATGCCCCTGGCAGGTGTTAAAGGCGTTAGGTCAATGGTGGTAAGGGGAGTCAATGGTGAGAAGAAGACAGAGAAAGGGGGTTGGCTCAGTGAAACAAAGAGAGATTATGGAAGGTGTAGTCAGAGTAGTCCAGGGAGGTGAGGACTTAGACAGTTCATTGGAAGATTAGTGTGATTGAACAGGGCTGTGTTGTAGATTAGCAGGAGGCAGATGGCTGAGAAGCCATGCGGAGACATACTGTGCAGAAAGTGAGTGACTGGGTTCTTTTCTCTAACGCTCTCCTACATTTCTCTAACTGGTCCTCATGTGGCAAGCTTTCATGGGAGACCCTCTCTACTTGTTCTTTTGCATGCCAGGGTGTCCTAAATGTGGCCCCAGAATTGGATAGAAACCCCCATTAACCTGGACAGAGATGCCTTCCCTGAGAGGATGTTATCTGGTTAAAATGTTCCCAGTATTATAGGCAGAAGTTACATGAGGCTTATTACTACCCAAATTACATCAAGACCTATAATGCTTCTTAGGTGAATTGTTAGAGCTGATAAGCCTTGTGGCTTGTAAGTTTCATTCACCCAAGCTCATACAGTTTAAAAGAGTCCCAAAGGGCATTACTATTAGTAAGTTATGTTTAAATGTCTGGGAATTTCTTCACGTCATGATCCCCCTAAATCCACATTCATTACTCTTTAGAACATTATTCATATCCATTACTTATGGGCATTACAACTGCTTCAAAAATAATTGATAAGGAGTTGGAATAATGAGGAGGTGAGGAGGATCTAGGAGGAAATGAGGCAAAGGAAAATAATCAGAATATATTTTATGAAAAGAATTGATAAAAATGGCACACACGGTGGCACCTGTTTCAAATATTCTAATACACTGGTTTTAGTTTAAATGGATATATTGTTGAATACTTGGGGGCTATCACTATTTAAAAACTAGGTTATAATAATAGCTACTATTTACTAAGCATGTATTATAGCTAGGTAACACAGGGAACGTTCTCATTTTACATGTAAGAAGAGTTATATAGATGCGAGTTTCCCATAGTAACAAAGTAATAAGAGGCAGGTATGCTGAACACCAGGCACTGTGCCTTGGGTCAGTGCCATTGGCTGCAACACTTCTTTACAAATCATATATGCTCTTTCCTAACTCTCTGTTACCTTCACAGAAATTATGTGGAAATGCCCATGGGTCCCTCACATCTACTGTTCTGACACTGTTGTCAAGAGGGATAGATGCTGTTTTATCATGTCTTTCACAGAAATGGTCTTTTATTATAATAATTATAATTTATTTGTATATGCTGAAACTACTTTCAGTGTCTAATATAGAATATCGGCTGAAATTCCTGTCAATCTTATTCATTTGTGCGGTATCAGAACAAAACTGTTCTATATTTTGCAAACTGAAGGACGCTTCCTATAGAACTTGGGCAGTTTTTCTAGCATTCTTTTTTTTGCACCATAGTCACGACAGGTATGTCTCACTGACCTGTAAGGCAGGCAAAAGGATTAGTAATGTTTGCTGTGGGATTGCAGAGGCATAGGCCACACAGGAGAGCCCAGGAGCCCGGCAAGGCCCAAGAGTGAACTCTGTCTCCATCCTCTTTCCTTTTGTGAAGCTCTGTTGCTGCTCTGTGGCTGTTCCCATCTAGTCCCCCTTTTCTCCGAAAGCTCTGCAGCATTTCTACATCCTTCTCCTTGCAGCTTCAGCATAAACACTGAAGTCATGACGATGCAGAATGTACTAACCTCAAGCGCTTCCCATCAGTGGCTCAGTGTTTAATACTTAGCAG